GCCCTGGGTTTTGACAACAAACAAGGTAAACAGAATAAGAAGCAAAAGGTGGGTGTGGCTGGATGACCAGACTTCTGGTAACATGGGGGTGCGGCCTAATATGCTAATGAGTGTTGCAGTCAGGGGGTGGCCTAATATGCTAATGAGTTTCTGCTGCTGGGTGTGGCCTATTATGCTAATGAGTTCCTGCTGGACTTTTTCTACAAAAAAAGCCCTGGTAGTAAGCATCGGGCTGGGCCCCAGGAGACCTGGGTTCCAGTCCCCACACAAGCCGTCGAAACTCATTGGATGGCCTTGGGCCATCTGCTCCTCCTTTCAGCCTGGCCTGCCTCACAGGACTGTTGTGGTGGTGAAATGGAAGCTGGGAAAACCTCTGCCACCCCTGAGGAAGGGCAGAATATAAATGGAATACGATTAGACTTCCTTTGTCCGGCGTGAAGGCTATCGGAAGGAGAGGAAGACTCTCCTGGGCGCTGAGTGCCCTTTTGAATGCCGGTCGCTCAGACTCTGTTCCTAAAAGCCAGTCCGCCTCTCCCTCCTGCAGGCATTTGCGGCTCCTGCGCCATGAATATCAACGGGGGGAACACCTTGGCCTGCACCAGGAGGATCGACACGAACCTCAGCAAGGTCTCCAAAATCTACCCTCTCCCCCACATGTACGTGGTGAAGGACCTCGTCCCGGTAAGTCTCTGGCTTTCGCCATCGTGGCTTCGGGAAAAGGTGATGGGGGAGGGACCCTGACCTGGGTGGCTCAGGCTGGCCCATTCCCATCGGATGTCGGAAGCTAAGCAGGGTCAGCCCCGGTTAGTCCTTGGATGGGAGACCGCCAAGGGAGTCCAGGGTCACTGTGCAGAGGGCAGGCCATGGCAAACCCCCTCTGCTTGTTTCTTGCCTTGAAAACCCTGTGGAGTCACCCTAAGTCGAAGAAGAAGAAACAAAATGGTAGAAAAGAGCCAGAGTCCAGGAGCACCGTAGAGACTAAAAATATTGGCGGCAGGGGAGGAGCTTTCGTGAGTCACGGCTCACTCCTTCAGGTATCTGAGCAAGAGTCCCAGTAGCACCTTAAAGACTACCAGAACTGGTGGCATTTGTGAGTCACGGCTCACTTCTTCAGGTACAGCTAGAATGAGGGTTGCCAACGTCCAGGTGAGGCCCAAAGACCTCCCAGAATTACAACCGTGGCCATGTTTCCCATATAAGACTGCCAGCCTCCTGGTGAGGACTGGAGATCTACGATTCCATCTGATTTCCAAATAACAGAGATCAGTTCCCCTTGGAGAAAATGGCTGCTTTGGAGGGTGGGCTCTATGGCATTACACACCACTGAGGTTCTTCCCCTTCCCAAACCCCGCCCCCCCCAGGCTCCACCCCCAAATCTCCAGGAATTCCCCAACCTGGAGCTGGCAACTGTAGCTTGCCTCACCATCCTTGGGGTGGGTGGGGGGCATAATGGTACCTTCCATTCCGTTATTTGGAGGGTCACAAGCATTGAATGTTGTGGGTGATTCCTTTCCTCCTGAGTTTGGCGAGAGGGAGATGATGGATACCCCCCCTGCACTATTTATTTATTTTTTTTGAATATTTTATTTACTTATTTTCCAAAACAAAATTACAAAAAACAAATTCTTAATACACAGTATCCTTTGGAGATTCTTTACACATTTTTTCCCAACCATCTATCTAGTTTCTGCCAACTTTTTAAAAACAGATTTTCATCTTTTGCCAACAGTATCATATTTAGTTTATCCATTTCTTTAATTTCCATATTTTTTGTAATTAACTCTTCTCTACCTGGTATTTTTTCTGATTTCCAACATTTCGCTAAGAGAATTCTGGAACTAGTGAGAATATACAATATCACACACAAATCGTTATATTTAATCCCTTCTGGTAAGATATTAAGGAGATATATTTCTGGCTCTAGCTTTAAATCTATCCCCTGCACTATTTATTTAGAAAATCTTTATGCTGCCTCTCCAGGAACCTGCCTGAGGCGACTTGGGGGTGATCCTGGAAAGTCCTGCTGCCAAGTCACCGTTGATTTATGGCTCCACCTGGTGGCCTTTTCGAGGCAAGAGACTTTCAGAAGCGGCTTTGCTGTTGCCTGACACTTCCTGGGGCCCCCAGCCTCCTTTGGAGATCTCCCATCCAAGGCCTAATCAGGGCCGACCCTGCTAAGCTTCCAAGATCTGAAGAGATCGGGCAGGCCCGGGCCAGCCAGGTCAGGCCATGAGGTGACTTACAGAATTAAAAAAAAAAATTAGTAAAAACAAAAAAAAATTAAGTGTTCATTAAAATTAAACATCAAAAGCTCAGCCCAGCATAAAAAAATAGACCATGAGGACAGACAGCTGACCACTTTAAATAACAGTTTCCAGACTACTTGTTTTAAATCAACCCCCTAACTAAAAGCCTGTGTGAAAAGAAACACTTTGGCCTGGCACCTAAAAGAAAGCAGTGTAGGTGCCAGCTGAGCCTCCGTGGAGGAAGGGCACTCCACAGGCGAGGTGCCACTACTAAAAAAGCACCATCTCTTTTTATTTTATTTTTAAATTTATTTTTAGACTTATACCCTGCCTGTCCTCTGGGTCACAGGGCTTGGGGTGGCTCACAGCATTCAACAGAACAATCTATCAATCGAGATGAAACGTACTTGCAGAGCATTAAATTGCAATCCATAAAATAGCATCCCAGCACTCTGATTGCCATCTGCCTCCCCTCTAAAGAGGGGGGCACAGAGAGCAGCCCCCGTGGAGCAGATCTGTGCTGGAGGTCCTGTCACCCTGGATACTTGATCCCACCCACTGATAACCGGCCATACCCACCTACATCAGTGGGCCGGTTTCTCCCTATGGCAAGCTGTGATTATTGATTTTATATGTTCATAATGTGTTTCAAATTTTATTGTATTTATTGAAATGTAACCCGCCCTGAGCCCGTTTACGGGATGGGCGGGATATAAATGCGAAAAATAAATCAATAAAATGGGCCTTTAGACTGTACAGATCACACACATTACAAATAAGGCAGTGTACTGTTAGTGCCATGGATTGGAAAACAGTAAATTAGTGAAATCGGACCAGATTTGTTTCAGCCAAAAAGGCCTTCTTCAGTGGTCTCAAATTTTTTTGGGGGACGAACTATTAAGTGCACTGTATCATTAAAGATATATTTTATTTATGTTTAATAATCCTTTTTATATATGCTTACCCCCTCAATCCTTTAGGTATCCAATTCCAGTTTGGGGCTGGGTTTTTGCCCCTTCTTTTGTGTTGTCAAGAGAATTTTGTGCCACACAACAGTAATGAACCTTTGGAGGTCGGGATCTGTTTTTCTGACATGTCATTGTTCATTTCTCTAATCCGGTATGTCTTACTCCCGCAAGTCAACAGAACGAAGTTTGAGTCCAGAGACGCCCTTAAAGACCAACAAAGTTTTATTCAAGGTATACGCTTCCATGTGCACGCACACTTCTTCAGATACAATGAAATGGAAATCACCAGTCCATCCATATAGGTAGAGGGTGAGCATACACATGAAAGCTTATACCTTGAATAAAACCTTGTTGGTCTTAAAGGTGCCACTGGACCCTAACTTTGCTTCTTCAGACCAACAGGGCTACCCACCTGAATCTATCCCACAAGTCAGTTACTTTTGGAGCAGAGATGTGTTTCCTCTTGTTTAATCCCAAATGCTCTCTTTGTTTTTTAAAAAAGGATTTGAGCAACTTCTATGCCCAGTACAAAGCGATCCAGCCTTATTTGAAAAAGAAGGACGAGTCCAAGCAGGGCAAAGAGCAATACCTCCAGTCCATAGAAGAGCGTGAAAAGCTGGTAATTCTCTCTTATGTCTTCCAATTCTGTCATTCCCCCCCACATTATTTTATTGCTCTCTGGGCTCGGCCCCGTTTGTGGGTTGGGTTACTGATTTCCTAACCTGCTGTTGCCACCTCTCTCTGGTCAATTCAGAACACCTCCGCTAAGCTCCTTCCACTGCTGTGACCCCACCACAACTGCCTGCCAGAGGCCTGGCCGGCTGGCACGCTCCACAGCACCTCTCAAGTTCCTAGTCCTCATGCTGATAGCGCTTCACCTCGAACCGCATCTCCTTCCTCTTGCTGTCTCTGCACTCTTTCTCAACTCTGCCGCCACACCCCTTTGGTTAGATGGTGGCCTCTACCCAGTCTTGTTTGATCAATCATGGCTGTTCAGAGTCTCAGATACCGGAGATACTTTAAGATGGAGGGAGGGGAAAACAAACTTGACCCGATAAGAACCACAAAAGTAAGAAAGAAGCCTGATAAAGGGCCCTTTATCAGGCTTCTTTCTTACCTGAGATGCTTTGACCTGGGGATTCTGAGGTCTGAACGTGGGACCTTCTGCATGCAAGGCCAGGTTTCTGCCGCCCAGCTACAGCCTGGTACAGGCCTTGCACGGAGTCAGACCCTTGGCCCGGCTCAGGGCTCTTTTTGTAGAAAAAGCCCAGCAGGAACTCATTAGCATAACAGGCCACACCCAACAGCAGGAACTCATTAGCCTATTAGGCCACACCCCCTCACTCCACCGCTCATTAGCATATTAGGCCGCACCCACATGTTACCAGAAGTGTGGTTATCCAGCCACACCCACCTTTTGCTTCTTATTCTGTTGACCTTGCTTGTTGTCAAAACCCAGGGCCTCTTTTGTAGCAGGAACTCCTTTGCATGTTAGGCCACACACCCCTAATGTAGCCAATCCTAATGAGTGTCTGCTGTTGGGTGTGGCCTGTTATGCTAATGAGTTCCTGCTGGGCGTGGCCAACTTGGGAGCCAGCCGGAACTCTGTTCCTGTGCGTCCCTGCCCAAAAATAGCCCTGGCCCAGCTTGCTCGATATTGTCTGCTCTGACTGGCAGCTGCTTCAGGCAGGGAAGGGTCTTTCCCAACATGTTGCCTCACAGGAGATGCCAGGGGATTTGTGCATGCAAAGCTGACCTCTGTCACCTGTTACGTGTGAAGCTGTCCTATACAGTGGAGCCATTCCGTTGGTAACTTAGTTTTGCCTGCTCTGGCTGGCAGCAGCTCTCTGAAGAACCACCTTCCTTGACCGCTGCAGCCTGAGATCCCTCAGCTGAATGTGCCGGGGCCTGAACCAGGGACCTTCTGCATGCAAAGCAGGGGCTGTGCCACTGAGCCATGGCTCCTTCCCAGTTGGACCTCCTGATGGCACTGGTATTTCTGGCCACTGTGGGATACAGAGTGTTGGACTGGATGGGCCTTTGGCCTGATCCAACATTGGCATCTCTTATGTTCTTATGTTCATTCCGTTGGTAACTTAGTTTTGCCTGCTCTGGCTGGCAGCAGCTCTCTGAAGAACACCTTCCTTGATAGCTGCAGCCTGAGATCCCTTAGCTGAATGTGCCGGGGCCTGAACCAGGGACCTTCTGCATGCAAAGCAGGGGCTGTGCCACTGAGCCATGGCTCCTTCCCAACCACAAACTAGTATGATCCTGCGAAGCTGCTGAGCCATCAGTCCATCTGGCTCAGGATTGCCCACTTTGACTTTCCCAGGATCCTCCTCCCTGAGATCCTTCTAACTGGAGCTGCCAGGCCTTGAGCCCAGGACCTTCTGTGTACAAAGCTTGAGAGGCTGTGGCTCTGTGATGGAGCCTGGTGTGAAGAAGGTCCCAGGTTCAATCCCCAGCATCTCCAGTTGAAACGACAGCTGAGGGGTGACATGATCGAGGTTTATAAGATTATGCATGGGAAAGAGCAATTAGAGAAAGAGGTACTTTTCTCCCTTTCTCACAATACAAGAACCCGTGGGCACTCCATGAAATTGCTGAGCGGTCGGGTTAGAACGGATAAAAGGAAGTACTTCTTCACCCAAAGAGTGATTAACACACGGAACTCACTGCCACAGGAAGTGGTGACAGCTACAAGCATGGACGGCTTCAAAAGGGAATTAGATAAGCATATGGAGCAGAGGTCCATCAGTGGCTATTAGCCACAAGGTATAGATAGGGACTCTGGGGCAAGTGATGCTCTGTCATCTTGGTGCTTGGGGGGGGGGGGTCAACAGTGGGAGGGCTTCTAATGTCCTGGCCCCACTGGTGGACCTCCTGATGGCACTGGTATACTGTGTGACACAGAATGTTGGACTGCATTGGCCCTGATCCAACATGTCTTCTCTCATGCTCTTAAAGTGGACTGTAGGTGATGTGGAAAAAAAAGCCACCTGAGACCCTGTAGAGCTGCTGCCCCTCTGAATAGACAATACTGACTTTGATGGACCAAGTTTCTGATCCAGGACAAGGCAGGTTCCTGTGTTTAATATTTCTGGGCTTGCTGTCCTTTAGGGAGCGGGGGGGGGGGCATGGCTCAGTGGAAGAACCTCTGCTAGGCATGCAGAAGGTCCCAGGTTCAATCCCCAGCATCTGCTCTTCACAGGACTTAGCATTGGATGAGATGATGAGGAAGGATCTCCTGTTTTCTCAGCTGGCTTCCCTGTTCTGCTGCCAGCCGTGGGCTCCTCGAATTCGCCCCCCCCCCAAGTTGCCCCGCACTGACAGCTGTAACTGCCAATACCCTGGGGAGGGGAGGGGGCGTCTTGCTTTCCTGCCTCGGGGTCCAAAATCAGTCTTGGGTGGCTTCCTGGTTCCTTTCCACCCACCGTTCCCTTCTCTTTTGTCCCCTGCCAGGACGGGCTGTACGAATGCATCCTGTGTGCCTGCTGCAGCACCAGCTGCCCCAGTTACTGGTGGAACGGAGACAAGTACCTGGGCCCTGCCGTGCTCATGCAGGTAAGAAAAACCGGGAGAGCGGAGGAACGGAGGCCCGTCCTCCCGTCATGGCAGCCCTCGCTTACGTTCCGCAGCGTACAGCTTCGAGAAGAAGGAACGACCGGATTGGATGTTGTCTATTCTTTTATAACGCCACCTTCCTTCCGTCACGGAATTCTGGGGGAGCGGCTTTGGTGTCCCAGGTGGAGTCTCTTGTTGGGAGATGAGACCAGGCCCATCCGGCTTTGTTTCTGGGAGGCGGCTCCATTGGGGGCCTTCTGGCCATATCTTGGGAGGTTCCAGCCCTCAGCAGCCTTGGCCCAGGCCCAGTCTACATGGTGCTGGTGACACGCTGGCCTTTGCAGAGCAGGGGGGAAGGCAACAGGGAAGCGGACTCTGCCTGAGCGATCGTGGCATCCCACAGAGATCACATTGCTCATTGCTTAAAGTGGGGATTTTTTGGTAAGCCGCCTCGAAAGCGGGGATAAGAACATCCGTGCTGGATCAGACCAGTGTTCCACCTTCTGCAGTATCCCGTCTCATGCAGTGGAGGTCCAGTGACAGAACACAGAGGCTGAGCCCTTCTCCTGATGTTGCCTCCTGGCACTGGATTTTGTTGTTGTTGTTCAGTCGCACAGTCGAGTCTGACTCTTCGCGACCCCATGGACCAGATCATGCCAGGCCCTCCTGTCTTCTGCTGTCCTCTGAAGTTGGCTCAATTTCATGTTCTTTGCATCTATGACACTGTCTAACCATCTCATCCTTTGCCGTCCCCGTCTTCTTTGACCTTCAATCTTTCCCAGCATCAGGGTCTTCTCCAGTGAGCGCTCCCTTCTCATTTGGTGGCCAAAGTATTTGAGCTTCAGTTTCATTATCTGGCCTTCCAGGGAACAGTCACTGGATTAGTGCCTCTGAATGGGGAGGTTCCCCTCAGTGCCTCGTTTAGATCCCGTAAGCTCACCTGTGTCCCGTTTTCCCAGGCCTACCGCTGGATGATCGACTCCCGGGACGACTACACAGAAGAGCGGCTGGCGCAGCTGGAAGACCCCTTCTCCCTTTACCGCTGCCACACCATCATGAACTGTACCAAGGCCTGCCCCAAGGTGGGTGTGCCATTCTCTGCCTGCTGGCTCCCGGAGTGCCGTTCCAGGGCCCTCTGTTTCCCCTTCACATGCCGAGTTGTGTCAAACTGCAGCCTCCAGCAGTTTAATTCAGACTGAAGTGACTCCCCCCCCCTCCCAATTCCCGGGAGTCAGAGAATGCGTCAGACAGGTTTCTTACTTGCTGTAGCAGCTCAGAGAAACGTCCTTCTGTCAGTTTGTCTTTTATCTCGCCCTTCCTCATCAGAGCCCAAGGTGGCTTGTGGGATTCTCTTCTTCCGTTTTACCTTCTTAGGAACTTTGTGAGGTAGAGTCCAAGAGCACCTTAAAGGCTAACAAAATTTGTGGCAGGGGAGGAGCTTTCGTGAGTCACGGCTCACGTCTTCGGATAACTGAAGGTAGCTGAAGAAATGAGGAGTGACTCACAAACGCTCCTCCCCTGCCACAAATTTTGTTAGTCTTTAAGGTGTTACTGGGCTCTTGCTCTTTGCCAGTGCTACAGACAGACTAACCCGGCTATCCATCTTGTGAGGTAAGCCAGGGTGGTGGTGTCCTTTCCTCATAGGCAAGTTGCTCCATCCTTATGAGCCTCTCCAGTATCGTAACAACATCAGAAGAGCCCCGCTGGATCAGACCTGGGGTCCACCCAGTCCAGCATCCTGCCTCACACAGTGACCAACCAGTTCCTCTGGACGGCCAGCAACAGGGCCTTCCCCTGAGGTTGCCTCCTGGCTCTGGGATTCAGAGGCTTAGTGCCTCTGCATATGGAGCTTCCCCTCAGCCACCACGGCTAGTAGCCACTGATAGACCACTCCTCTGTGAATCTGTCCAACCCCCTTTTAACACTGTTTATTCCTGTACCTGTCACAACATCCCTGGCAGCAAATTCCACATTTCAATTACTCTCTGTGCAAAGTAGTGTTTCCTTTTGCCTGTTCCGAATCTATCCTTTTCAAGACGAGCGGCCGTAACTGTACCCAGCCTTCGAAAGTGGTTGCACTAGAGATCGGTACCAGGGCATTCTGTTACAGCCACTGTGGTATACTAGTCCGAGTGTCAGACTAGGATCTGGGAGACCCAGGTTAGAATCCTCACTTTGCCACAGAAACTTGCTGGGTGACTTTGGGCCAGTCACACAGACTTAGCCTAACCTACCACACGGGATGAAAGTGAGGGGAACGACAAGAGCCACTTTGGGTCCCAGTTGTGGAGAAAGGAGGGGTATCAATGGAGCAAATACAATTTTTGTTTTCCTGATCTCTTTCTTAATCGTCCCCCACCCCAGAATCTGCTGAAGCCAGTTTGGTGTTAGTGGTTAAGAGTGGTGGACTCTAATCTGCAGAACCGGGTTTGATTCCCCACTCCTCCACGTGCAGCCAGCTGGGTGACCTTGGGTCAGTCACAGTTCTCTCAGAGCTCTCTCGGCCCCACCTACCTCACAGGGTGCCTGTTGTGGGGAGAGGAAGGGAAGGCGATTGTAAGCCGCTCCGAGACTCCTTCGGGTTGTGAAGGGCGGGGTATAAATCCAATCTCCTCCTCCTCCTCCTCTTCCTCTTCTTCTTCGTCTCCTCCTCTCTCACTTCCTCCCTTTTTGGAATGGTGCTCTCAGTTCTCAGTGTGGGGTTTTTGAAGTAGCTCTCCATGCACCTCCCCCCCCACAGCTGTTTTCTCAAGAGCAGTTCTCTTAGTAAGCTCTCTCGGCCCCACCTACCTCACAGGGTGCCTGTTGTGGGGAGAGGAACGGAAGGTGATTGTAAGCCACTCCTTTGGGTAGTGAAGGGTGGGGTATAAAACCAACTCAACGTCTGAGAGCCAGTGTGGCTTAGTGGTTAAGAGCGGCAGACTCTAACCTGGAGAACCAGTTTTGATTCCTCACTCCTCCACATGCAGCCAGCTCGGGTGACCTTGGGTCAGTCACGGTTCTCTGAGAGTGGTTCTCTCAGAGCTGTTCTCTCGCGAGCAGTCCTTGAAAGAGCTCTCCCAGCCCCGCCTACCTCACAAGGTGTCAGTTGTGGGGAGGGGAAGGAGATTGTAAGCCGCTCTGAATCTCTGAGTGAAGGACAGGGTCTAAATCCCACCTTCTTCTTCTTTGATATATCTCACCAGCCAAGCAAAGCCCATCAGCAGCTCCTAAATCTGCTTCTCTCTTCCAGGGGCTGAACCCCGGAAAAGCCATTGCTGAAATCAAGAAGATGATGGCCACCTACAAGGAGAAGGCAGCCAGAGCTTAAGTCTGCACGGGGGCCTCCGCTCCGTTATACGCACACACCCTCTTACTGGGAATAACTTATATCCGAAGCCTCGGCAGGGGGTGGAGAGACCCCGCCGTTCCCGTGTGATTTTTCCCCTCTCTCCATTGACAGACCTGCATGTTGGATATTGTAATGGACTAATTAAATTGCTACTTTGATTAGCAGAGTTGGACCAAGATCTCTGTCTCACTCTGTCTCTCTCTCTCTCTCCCTCCCTCCCTCCCCGCAGCCATTTTCTGCTCTGCATCTGATACATTAATAGTTAGATCTGAGTCCAGTTTGATTTGAGATCGACAAGATTTTTCAGTGGGAAGGGTATGAGCTTCTGAGTGTCCAAGCTCTGTTTGTCAGATACGAGTCAGAACGGAGATCTCTGAATCCTTATGCCCCAGTCAGAAGGTGGGAGGGGCGTTGCAAAGAAGGGAATCAGGATGCAGAGGGACAAGGCACATTGTAATCCGCTAGGTTAGAGCAGAGGAGAAATGCTCAGGGGCAGGAAATCAGCCCCTGTAGTGGGATAAGAATCCTGTGTCCCTGTTCAGCCCCGGGAGGGGTGGGGTTCCATTGTTCTGAATCTGTGAATGAGCTCAAGTTCAGCTGTCTCACGTTGTGATCTCCCCTTGAAACTTCTCTGTTTGAGGACTTGCCACTCTTAGGTCAGCAACTGGACTGCCCTGAAAGACTAAAATGTTTTTCCATTGGTTTTTGAGTGTTGTGGTTTTCGACAGATAGTGCAGCGGATCCTAGCGAGGCCTGCTTCTCCGGTCGTCAGAAAAGCCCAGCCAGTGTCTGTATTTCTGTGGGAGGGTGACTTTTATCGTGTGACTCCGGTCTGTTTTGTCACGTGATCTTCTTTTTTTTTGACTGCCTTTCATCCATTTGGAGGGGACGGGGTTGATAAATAAAACACAAAGACCGCCAGGTGCCCCCGTGACATTGGAGAGAGGTCGCAGGGCTCTTTTTGTAGCAGGTACTCCTTTGCATATTAAGCGACACACCCCTAATGTAGCCAATCCTCCAAGAGCTTACAGTAGCTCCTGTAAGAAGAGCTCTGTAAGCTCTTGGAGGATTGGCTACATTAGGGGGTGTGGCCTAATATGCAAATGAGTTCCTGCTACAAAAAGAGCCCAGGAGGGTATGTGGCAGAGTCAGCTTTGATGTGGGGGGAGTGCTGCATTCATTTGCCTCACCCGCCTGGCTCTCCTTCTCCTGGTGTGAAGGAGGCAGGCAGGCAGGGCAGCAGGTAACTCTGTCCTCTGTACTGGTGACATGATACTTCTTCATCCGCTACCCAGGTCGAATGCTCGGCTTTTGCGGCTCCCCGCCAATATTTTTCTGGCCTGCATGTAAGCATTGTACAGTGGGGACCTGCCACCTTAGAGGCCCCTCACTGGCTGCCCTCTGAGAAATCTGAATAGTCCCAATTTTTAAGAAATTGCCCACCCTGAAGCATTTCCTTATGGGTATTTAAGGATAAAACCCAACTTAAACTTGAAAACGCGATGCTCGTGTCTTCAAATGAAGAGAGTTATACACCAAAGGGCCTTAAACGTCACACGATGTGGGGCTTAGCTGTGGCAGCTTTTAACCCATTTCCTAAGTCGCTTTTCTTTTCTTTTTTTAAAAATTATATTTATTTCAGTTTTCCTGTATGCATTACACCATGCATATCATATCCATGTTACAAATACAAATATCAGCTTACAGAGTCTCACATCATCCTGTTTGACATCTTGCTTCTTCCTTAACCATTTATAAAACGTTCCCCACCTATTATGAAATATCTTTGTTTCTTTATTCTGTAATATTGTGGTCAATTTGTCTATTTCAACCACTTCCTGTACTTTGGAGAATAAATCTCTTTTCGGGGGTATTCCCCCTTGTTTCCAATTCTTGGCAAACAAGATACGTGTAGTTATATACCCAATAACATATTTTTCTTCCTTTTTATACTTGTCCGGTAACACGTTCAACAAAAAAAACTCTGGATGAAACGGTATCTCTATTTCTAGTATGTCGCCCAACAGCTTATGTACCTTATGCCAATATCGTTGGGTCACGGTACACCTCCACCACATATGGTAAAAGGTACCTACGTTATTTTTGCATTTCCAACAGTTTTTGGACATATTTGGGTAGCATTTTGCTAGTTTATCTGGCGAGCCAAGTCGCTTTTCTGAGGTGACTGGTTGCTCCAGTCGCCCTCGAGAGCATTTCCTCAGCTCCCTTCAGGTTGGAGAATTAGGCCTTATTCCTCTGAGCTCTGGAAGAGAATGGAGTGGAGCCTTGGAGTGGCATCTGGGCCAGACGAGCAGAAAACAAATGCATTTCCTGCCATCCCCCCCCCACACACACACTTTTCCATCTGCTTCCCTTTCCTCTCATGCTTTTCTTGTACCATCATTTCCAATAGTAAATTCTTGTCATCTCGGGGCCGGGACCTCTACACTGAATTCTGGAAGGGGGTCAGGCATCTGGATAGTGTAATAATGATTTGCACGTGGTTCTGATTTGCACGCAGTTCTTTCCAGGCACTGTGCTGTGGTGGAAAGGGCTATTGAGTCATGGCCAACTAAATGGTGACCCTGTAGGGTTTTCAAGGCAAGAGATAAACAGAGGTGGTTTTGCCATTCGCTGCCTCTGAGTAGCAACCCTGGGACTTCCTCGGTGGTCTCCCATCCAAGGACTAGCCGAGGCCGACCCTGCTTAGCTTCCAAGATCTGATGCAGCTGGGCCAACCTGGGCCATCCAGGTTAGGGCTGTGCTACACTTCCTCAGAGCTGATCCATTGATATGATCCATGGAGCCATTATGGGACATACTGAAAAATACAGTGTTGAGACATAGAAAAACAGAATCAGTGAGTTGGAAGAAGAAGAAGAGATTGGATTTATACCCCGCCCTTCACTACCCAAAGGTGTCTCAGAGCGGCTTATAAACTCCTTTCCCTTCCCCTCCCCACAACAGACACCCTGTGAGGTGGGTGGGGCTGAGAGAACTCTGACACAAACTTCTCTTTTCCAAGGACAGCTGTGCCAGAGCTTGTGACTGACCCAAGGTCACATCAGCAGGTGCAAGTGGAGGAGTGGGGACTCAAACCCGGTTCTCCCAGATTAGAGTCCGCACACTTAACCACTACACCAAACTGGAAGGAGCTTTATAAGCCATCAATATACATTAAAAAAAACCAACCAACTCAGTACATGGGAATGCATTTTTTTGAAGATCTCCACTGAGGGAGAACCACTTTTCCACAAAGATATTTGGCTTTTGAAGTGCTCATGCCATGAGGTATGAGCCAGTTTGGTGCAGTGGTTAAGTGCGTGGACTCTGATCTGGGAGAACGGGGTTTGATTCCCCACTCCTCCACAGGCAGCCAGCTGGGTGACCTTGGGCAAGCCACAGTTCTCATAAAGCTGTTCTTGAAAAGAGCAGTTTCTGTCAGAGCTCTCTCAGCCCCGCCTGCCTCACAGGGTGGGGAGGGGAAGGGAAAGGAGATTGTAAGCCGCTCTTTGAGTCTCTGAGTGAAGGGCAGGGTATAAATCCAATCTCTTCTATCTGAAGAAAGAAGCTTTGACTCAAAAGCTTATACCCCCAAAATCATGTCGGCTTCTAAGTACTACTGGTCTCAAATCCAGCTGTTCTACTGCAGACCAAGAGGGCTGCCCTCTGAAACTGTTGTAACATTAGGAACATTCTCCTTAGGTTCCCCGGAATGGAAGATGGGGGTGGTGGAGGGAGTAAAAGGTAAAGGTTCCCTTGCTCGAAAGCCAGTCGAATCCGACTCTAGGGTTGCGGTGCTCATCTCTGTTTCAAAGCCGAAGAGCCAGCGCTGTCCGAAGATGCTTCCGTGGTCATGTGGCCGGCATGACTAAACACCAAGGCGCACGGAACGCTGTTACCTTCCCACCGAAGTGGTACCTATTTATCTACTTGCAATTTCTTGCTTTCGAACTGCTAGGTTGGCAGGAGCTGGAACTAGAGACGGGAGCTCACTCCGTCATGCGGCACACTCGGGTCTCGAAGTGCTGAACTACTGACCTTCTAGAGCCTGCAGTCTTAACCACTTAACCACGATGGTCTTAACCACTTGAGCCACTGCAGCTCCTTAGGTGGAGGGAGTAGCAGAATGAAAAACCCTTGTCCCGAATGTGCTTCCAAGCAGGTTTTGGAGGGGTGAGGATCAATGCTCCCTCTAAGCTGTGGAGTCTTGTGAGAAAAAAATTCTGCTTAGTGAGCGACTGGCATTAAAGTTGTGAGGGAGCCATTTGGCTGCTGCATAAATTAGTCTGCTCTGGAGCCCTCCTTCCTGAGCTTAAGACAAAAATGTGTGAGCCGGAGGCTAAACAACTGAGCTAGCTCACACTAACTCAGCTTAGAGGGAACACTGGTGGGGGGA